AAAAGACGCTTACTCCTTGGAAGGAAAGTTATGACCAGCCGAGACAGTATATTAAAAAGCAGAGACATTACTTTGTCAACAAAGGTCCATCTAGCCAAGGCTATGGTTTTTCCAGTGGTCGTGTATGGATGTGAGAGTTGGACTGTGAAGAAAGCTGAGCACCGAAGAATTGATGCTTTTGAACTGTGGTGTTGGAGAAGACTCTTGAGAGTCCCTTGGACTGCAAGGAGATCCAACCAGTCCATCCTAAAGGATATCAGTCCTGGGTGTTCATTGTAAGGACTGATGCTGAAGCTGAAACTCCAATACTTTGGCCACCTGATGCAAAGAGCTGACTCATTTGAAAAGACCCTGATGCTGGGAAAGATTGAGGGCAGGAGAAAAAGGGGACGACAGAGGATAAGATGGTTGCATGGAATCACCGACTCAATGGACATGGGTTTGAATGGACTCTGGGAGCTGGTGATGGACAGGGAGGCCTGGTGTGCTGTGGTTCATGGGGTCACAAAGAGTCAGACACGACTGAGCAACTAAACTGAACTGAACCTAGACAGCATATTAAAGGTACCTAGACAGCGTATTATAAAGCAGATACATCACTTTGTCAACAAAGGTTCATACAGTGTATTAAAAAGCAGAGACATCACTTTGTCGACAGTAAAAAGGCTATGGTTTTTCCAGTAGTCATGTATGGATGTGAGAGTTGGACCATAAAGAAAGTTGATCATTTTTGAACTGTGATACTGGAGAAGATTTTTGAGAATCCCTTGGACAGCAAGGCAATCAAACCAGTCAATCCTAAAGGAAATCAACACTTAATATGCATTGGAAGGACTGAAGCTGAAGCTCTAGTACTTTGGCCACCTGATGCAAAGAGCTGACTCATTGGAAAAGACTTTGATGCTGGGAAAGATAGAAGGCAGGAGGAGAAGTGGGCAACAGAGGATGAGAAGGTTGGATGGCATCACTGACTCAATGGGCATGAGTTTGAGCAAACTCTGGAAGGTGGTGAAGGACAAGGAAGCCTGGCATGTTGCAATCCATGGAGTCCCAAAGAGTCAGATATGACTGGCTGAACAACAACTTGCTTTCTTGTTTTCCCAGATCTGACTAGAGAAGGCCTGCTAATCCTAAAACAAGAGCCATTTAGATAAAGCATAAGGAAGACCTTTCAGATACGAGATACTGAACTGCCTCCCACTCCAAATGGAGTTTTCCTGGGAGGGAAGATGAACTATATTACTATTTACATTTGCTTCTGACTGCAGAGCTCTATAATTTCTTTCTGGATATGGTTTCTATTTTTGTTGCAGCAGAAAGATTTGATTTCAAAGACGTATAGGAAAACTGTGTGGGTGAATCTCTGGGGCACGAATTCTTTACATGAGGCCCCTGGCCTCTAAGTGATAACCAACAGAGGCCTGTGAGCTCCCAAAATTGTATGCGAAATTATGTTTCCATGGATATTGGAGGAAGAACATTCATAACAGCCATCAACTTTGCAAAGGAGTCCATGATTTAAACAAGAACAAAAACAAAACCAGTGAAGAATCATTGCTCTAAGGGAAGAATTTGTTTAGTGAGGATGGTTAACTAACTCTTATTTTGGCTGTTCCTTTTCGTGTCTTTGCATGCGGTGGGAAAGTGAGGAAGAGGGCTGGGGAGGGTGGGACAGAGGAGCCTGAGGGAGGGCTGAGTTCAGGGTGCATCCACCCTTATTCATTCACTTATTTGCTCAACAAATATTTACTGAGCACCGACTACTTGCCAGGCACTGTTATAGGCACTGTAGGTACAGCAATGATCAAAACAGATGTGGATTCCTGCTTTATAGAGTTTACATTTGGGGAGGTGGCAGAGAATAAACAATAAACACAACATGAGGGACTTCCCTGGTGGTCCAGTGGATGAGTTTGCTTGCCAGTGAAAGGGACACGGGTTCAATCTCTGGCGTGGGTAGATGCCACATGCCGCAGAGCAACTGAGCCTGTGTGTTGTAACTACTGAACTTGTGCCCTAGAGCCCACGCTCTGCAACAAGAGAAGCCACCACAATGAGAAGCCAGCCAAAAACAAATAAATAAAATTAAAAACAAAAACTACAACATGAGTATATTCTATAGTGGATCTGGACAAGAGGGACTCACTGTGGGGAGGGGAGGGGCAGGAAGGTGGAAGGTGGGCCATTTGCACTCTTGAAAGTAAAAATGAAAGTTGCTTAGTCATGTCTGACTCTTTGCAACCCCATAGACTGTTCATGAAATTCTCCAGGCCAGAATACTGGAGTGGGTAGCAATTCCCTTCTTCAGGGGAACTCAACCCAGGGATTGAACCCAGGTCTCCCACATTGCAGGAGCTGAGTCTTTACCAGCTGAGTCACAGGGGAAGCCCAAGAATACTGGAGCAGGTAGTCTATCCCTTCTCCAGGGGATCTTCCCAACCCAGGAGTTGAACCAGTGTCTTCTGCATTATAGGCAGATTCTTTACCAGCTGAGCTATCAGGGAAGCCCTATTTGTACTCTTTTGGAGGGCAAATCTCAAAGAGAAGGTGTTATTTGATCAAAAACTTAGAAGTGAAGGGGTTTGCCTTGAAGATGTCTTGTATCTGGGGGAAGACCAGTCTGTTGGAAAAAAAAAAACAAAACAGGAAGTATGTTCCTAAGATGGAAGGGAAAGGAATGACTGATGGAAGACCAGTAAGAGACTATCAAGATGAGTTACTTGGACCATGGTGACGGCAGTGGAAGTGGTGAGAAGAGGCAGGATTCTGGACATATTTTGAAGGGCAAGCCAATAGGATTTCTTTATGGATGAGGTAGGGGGACATGCATTAATGCTTCTCAGCTTTCCCTCCATCATTTCCCCTCATCATTGGGTGTCCCACCATCATTGGGTGTTCCACCAACCTGTCCCAGGTTGATCCATGGTCTACATCTGCACGGTCCAGTCCAGGAGCCACCAGTCACATGCGGCTGCTGAGCACTTAAATGTGGCTAGTCAAAACTGAGATAGACTTTAAGTGTAAAATACACACTCAAATTTGAAGATTTAGGACAAAAAAAGATGAAGTGTTACATTGGTAATTTAAAAATACTGATTACAGGTTGAAATGATACTTTGCATGATGTTGTTGTTGTTATTTTAGTCAGCTAAGTCATGCCCAACTCTTTGTAATCTCATGTCCACCAGGCCCCTCTGTCCATGGGATTTTTCAGGCAAGAATACTGGAGTGGGTTGCCATTTCCTACTCCAGGGGATCTTTCCGACCCAGGGATGGAACCCGCATCTCCTGCACTGGCAGGTGGGTTCTTTACCACTGAGCCACCTGGGAAGCCCCTAATACTTTGGATACATTGGGTTAAATATTAAAATCAATGTCATATCTTTCTTTATATATTCTTAATAAAATAAAAACTAACTACATGTGTTGGAGTAGGAAATGGCAACCCACTCCAGTGTTCTTGCCTGGAAAATTCCATGGACGGAGGAGCCTGGTGGGCTATAGTCCACGGGCTACAAAGAGTTGGACACAAATGAGCGCGCACACACACACACACACAACTACATGTGTAGCTCACATTACATTTTATCTATCAGTTGGACAGCACTGGTCTGGAAGATATTTGAGACACTGATGTTTACATTTGAACCAAGAATCCTCTGGGCTCATTCTTCCAGGAACAGAGATTATTTGAAACTGCCTAAGAGTGGGGGTTTTTTGTGGTTTTTTTTTTTTTTTGCTTTTTTTAAGTTGTAGCATATAAACTGTTACTTGTGGCATGGGGGATCTAGTTCACTGACCAGGGATTGAAACCAGGCCCCCCAGTTGGGAACACAGTCTTAGCCACTTAGTCTTAGGGAAGTCCCAGTGAAACCGCCTAAGAGTGATAAAGGACAATAAATTTCCAAAATACTTGTTCTGTAGAATCTCACATGATGCTTTATTTGGAAAAAAAAAAATGAGTTATTTACCCATGAGCAGAAACTCCGTGGCTGGCCCACCCATATATCAACAACCAGTGACTAGACTCAGCTGTAGGCAGCCTCAAGAGGTCACCGCTCAGACAGCCAGAGAGAGATCTCCCCACAATATCTGCAGCAACACACCATGCAGCCCTGCAGTGGAGATTCTTTTGGTCCAAAGCCATGACCTGCAACTTGAAATATCACTTCATATCAACCTCATAGTCTCACATAAATGTCTAAACCCCTGAATGGTGACTGAGCATCTCTGCTGAAGATGGGCGTGGCTGGGGCTGTGCATTTCTATATTCGTGCCCTCACTTATCTTGTTGCTAGCCTCATCTCTGTTTTATTGCTCTTTTCTATTTGATAGATAGGGTAACGCTGAATACTCTGATTAGTCAAAATGGTTTTACACCATGGGTCAGAACCTCTGGTGAGGCGGACTGGGGATTCACATTTTTATCAAGCATTATAGGTAAATTTTGGAGAAGGAAATGGCAACCCACTCCAGTATTCTTGCCTGGAGAATTCCATGGACAGAGGTTTCTGGTGGAGGGCAGTCCATGCAGTCGCAAAGAGTCGGACATGACTAAGCGACTAACACACACACATGGGTAATTTGATGCTCCCTGAAGTTAGAACGCTGCTAGAGAGAAAGGGCCACACACATGCATGTAAATGTGTGTGTGTGTGTGATGAGAGAGATACAGAAAGAGAAAGGGGTGGGGAGAGAGCGAGATCTAACAATAGAAGATCGATATGACTGACCACAACAACAAAAGCCTCATCCTATTTTCACTGCTCGGGAGGAAAATTCCGCTCTGAGTCACAGGCAGGCAGTTCTGGCCAGCTCCCTCCTCGCAAGCACAGGCTTTTCAGCCTCCTCCTCCTTCCCAGAGCTGCCTATAGCGCATGGGGAAGGGAGGGATCTGTTTGCCACTCACTCAGGTGTCCCTTTAGAAGCTCTTGTCTCCTTCTATTTCCCTATCCTCTCCCAAATCCTGCCAATTTCTTTCGAATTCTTTGTCTCTGTAGCCCAAAACATCTTTTGGAGGCTACTGGACTGTCCCCTCCCCAAGTGTGGGCACAGGAAATCTAACCCCCAAACTACTGTCCTCCTACTCGGCAACTGGGACTGTGGACCACACACCAAACGCCAAGGGCATCGCCTTGGCTATGCACCAACAGCAGCCTGCTGCTCCACCACCTTCCTGCTCCGTGTCCTTCAGATCGTACGTAGTCTCTGGGGGAGACATGACTTAACCTTTCTGACGTGGAACTGAGCCACAGAGACATGCTCCTCAGATTGGTTTGTTTGCCTGGATTGCGTTTTTCAGGAAACCATGTGATATGCAGGCAGCCATGAATGTCTTCCTAACTCACGGTGGCCTGGAGTGTACTGTGCTGATTGCACTGTCTCAGTTCCGTCTACTGAAAATGCTCCTGCGGGGTCTGAGCACGACTTGAGAAGGGGAACAAACCTCCCTGTGCCCGAGGAGAGGGGCGACGTGCCCACTAGGGGTGGCTGCCCGGGGTGTGGGGCGGGCACCGGCTGGGGAGAGAGTGGAGCCGGAAAATTTCTCATGAGTTCTCCCAGCTCGATCGTTCTCTCAGCTGCAGAAGAGGGCCTTGCAGTCTGGAGGGATTCTCAATGGGGAACAAAGGACAGAGGAGAGGGCTTTTTCCAGGAGCCAGAATTCATTCACAAGATGAGGGTTTGTAGGTGGGACCCGGCCCTCATTTCATTTATTTCCACTGTAGTCTTTCCACCAAGTTTCTCAAGACCGGTCCGTGAAACATTTCACATTTTGTGAGATGATCCTGCTTTTTAATATTTCTGACAGGTGTCCTGCCGGTCCTTCTGGAGTGACAATCTGTCCCTTTCTTCTTTTATGCAAATGTGCTCACCCTGCTTTCTCCGTCCGGGAGAGGATCAGAGATGAACGATGGCCCCTCTCACCGAGCTCTTCTCTCACTGGTGTAGTAAAAACACTGGAAGCTTCCAAATGGCAGACTTCAGAGCTTCCCCCGATTACGAACCTCGCCGTTTCTCTCCTGCTTTTCCTCGCACTGTGTGGGGCTGCGTTGCTTTGCCTACAGAGACCTCTCCTGCCTCTGCAGCTATGCCTTCGATAGTGTTCATTTGCATTTCTGAGCTCTCCGACTTTTAGTGCTTGACCTTTGCTGAGACAGAACGCGCTTGAGAAAGCTGGACTGTCAGAAGGCGAGGATGGACGACATGGGGGCTGGCATCAGAGCCGAGTGGTTTTTTACCCACAGCATCTGTATCGGGTTATCTTCTAGAGACGATCCCAAATTTAAATTGCATAAGATTAGAATATTTCTCAGAGCCAAACCATGGTGTTTTTTTTTTTTTTTTGCCTTTAAAGGCTAAAACAGGCTTTTTAAGACTTGTGGAAGAACTAGAAGGTTGGAAGGAGAGAAAGATGTGTTGGCAGATCACCAGAGCATGCAGTTAATTACGTCTCTTGTATAAACCTGTCAATAGTTTTCTTCTCACTTTAAAACCGCACTCTTTTGTGACTACATTGATTATATTAACCCCTTGTGATCATTCAGAGAAGGGGGCAGGGCTTTATGTGGGGAGAGTACTATAAACGCAAAACAAACAAGGCTAGAATAACAAGCTGGCTTTCACACAAATCACTTTGAATAATCTGGCTGACTAGGAAGTGGGTGAGAAGGCAAGCGGCTTCCAACTCATCACTGTTTTCTGTCCCTGAATTAGGGCTTAGAGAACCTCAGGGCTGAAGGGGAACCTTGAGAACACGCTGTGTAATCCCCTGCCCCAGTCTTGGCCCTCCCTCCAGCCGCAGCAAGCATCTTCTTGGCTCTTCTTGGCCACACCCAGGCCTAGGAGGCTCTCTGCCTTTAGAGCTAGCCTTCATACTAAGAGGAAATGTGTCTTCCCCTGGATTCCGCCCTTTGGCTTTGGTAATTTAGGGCTTTGAGGAGATCCGGGATTACTCATCTCTGGCAGTCTCTGATGACCAAACATCATGTCAGGCCAGAGTGAATGGCTCCCAGGACATGCTGATTCCTTGACCCTAATCCCCAAACATACTGCTGTCCATAATGGGATGGCTGACCTACGGCCAATGTGAGCGTCATTCATACCCCTGTCCTTCCAGTGTGGACCGAGCACCGGCAACATCAGCCTCCCCTGGAGCCTATCAGAAATGAGTCTAGAGTCCCCACCCCAGACCTACTGGATCAGAATCTGTGTTTTAACAAGATCCATCTGCACATTCATGTGCACAGCCTGACTGGCCCACGTGGCTTATGAAGAACACTGGCTGACTCTGACCCATGTGCCTCACTTGGCACCGCAGAATCTTGGGGCACAGCATTGCTGGGAATCAGCTACCCCGTCCAGGAAAACCAGACTTCCATGGTGGAGGTGGCGCGTCCAAGGAGGACACCTTGAAAGACAACAGCTGAGTGCTTGGAGGAGGTCCTCCTGAGAAGGTGACCTTGGGGAGGAGCTCCAAGGTGTTGCCCCAACACTGAGAGATATAAGCTTCAGGAAGCCTTCCTCCCTTCCTCTGGGATAGGCCCTTAGGCCTACTTACTGGGAAGAGGTCCAGCCTGATGACTAAGAGAATCGTTCGATTTCAGAGCCTCTGTAAATTTCCCCAGTTTGTTGTTATTGTTCTCAGCCTCTAACAGTTTGTTTCAAGAAAGATTAATGGTATAAAGCCACTTTAGGGACCAGCTCCCCAAAGACAGCAGGGAACCAGGAAGGTGGTGCATCCATCCATCACTCACAGTGCCGCTTGCAGACAGAGGAGCTCCTGGAGCGGAAGAGAGGGCAGCAGTGTGGTAGAAGGGAAGAGGGAGTCAGGAGCTGCAGGAAGGGAACTGCGGAGACCTAGAGGCGTTCACCCACCGGCCACAGCGGCGGGGTTTCAGTGGCAGGAGGACCGCGTGGCTGACTTGTTGGTTATGGTTAAACTCGTGCCAGAAGGTCCTGGAAGGCAGGGCCATACAGGCACAGAGACCATGTGCTCAGCAGCCGCGGACCCTGGGCAGACCACGTCACTTCTCATCGATCGTCTTCCCACCTAGGAAATGGAGGTTGTAAGAGCATTTACTCCACAGAACTGATGAGAACACACTTGTATCGGGCATGGTGTTCCTGCACCCATTCCACCCCAGCTGCTGAAGGCTTTGGAGTTTCTAGAAAAGCCATTTCCTCCACAGTGACTTGTTAGGGATGGGAAGGCCTGAGCCAGTTTAGGTCTCTCCTTCGTAGGACCAACTGTCCTCAAACAGTAGGACAGAAAGACAGAAGGAATCTTGAGTCTTGGCTGATATCATGGCGCCTCTGAATGAACCAGTCCTGAAGGCTGTCAATCTCTGGACTCCAAGCTCTGTGACCTAACACATTTTCTTACTGTTGAATTCTGTTGGAATAGAATTTTATGGGACTCACAGCCACAACTACCCATACAGATACAAGTCCACTTCAGTTCAGTCGCTCAGTCGTGTCCGACTCTTTGCAACCCCATGGACTGTAGGTAAAGTGTCCCATGCCCAGCGTGGAGTAATCTCTTTAAAATGGCTAGCTTATTGTTGTTATTATCATTTCAGACAGCATACAAGACATGTACAGACCTTTGCTGGAAACAGCATCAACCCAAAAATGGTACAAAGAATAAGACATCTCTTTTTTAGAGGCTGAAAAACAACATATAGAGATCTACTGTAACCAGGCAACAAGGTTTTTTGTTGTTTTTTTTTTTCTTTTCCTTTTGCAACCCCCTACCTCCACCTCACTTTTCACTTACAAGAAAATCACTAAGAAAACTAGCAGATTGAAAGGATTTAGTAATTCCATCAGCAGTAATTCCCAAGCCATGCCCTATCCTCTCAACAGCTTCAGGCCCTCCCCTCTGCCCCGATCTCTACACTTATACAAGAACAAGAAGAGCAACTTGCCAGCCAGAGGACAGGCAGCTGGAGCAAATGCTATCTTTTTGTTTGTTTCTCTTCATTTTGAGAAGCTTTAGAAATACAGAAAAAGACAAAGAACAATCTAACAAACTCCCATGTTGCTGTGTTTACTTTGTTTAATAAAATTAAAGTTACAGAAAACAGTTGGAAGACTCTTTGACCAATCCCTTCTTTCAACCAATAAATATGAATAGGTTTGATTCATATTTTTATAACCTATTTTTGTTCTATTCATATCCACAAATAGAATACACTATTTTAGCTGTATTTTTAAAATTTACATATGTGTAAGATATAACTCTAAAACTTGCTCTTTTCATTGGGCATTATGGTTTTAGATCTATCTGTGTTGATACATGTAGATCTAGTCTATTATTTTTATTCAGAGTAGTACTTCAACATAGACGTATAAAAGATTTTGTTGTCCACTATTTTGCTAGTGGACACTTCTTGGTATTTACTTTTTGCCATCCTAAGTATAGTAGCAATGAACAGCCTTGGATGTGACCCATATCTTTAACTCTCTTTCACACTGAAATGTATAGCTCAAAGCCTAATGCATAAAACATTTAACTCATCAGTACATATTTATTAAGCTTAGTTGGCATCAGAGTAAAAAATTGGACCAGAGAATCGTAATTAACAGCTCCAGACTTGCACAGGGATGTGGTCTATAGCTTAAGGATCTGCCAGTGCTGTTAAGGGTAAATATATATACCCAGGAAAATATAGCTAATAATGCAGGGCAGAGACACTTAGTATCAAATGAGAAGTACAATCAGTTGCTGTAAGAACTGAGAATATATGAGTTTGAAGAAAGGTGATCAAAAACAGAATGTCATTCTAGATCTGGAAGGATTTCAAATAGAATTCCAATAGGCAAAAGCTGTTCAAGTCAGTGTCAATGATGTGAGCACGGTGAAAAGGAGGGAAGCTCTATAAAGTCAAGGCTCAGGGTGAAGGAGGGCTTCCCTGGTAGCTCAGCTGGTAAATAGTCCACCAGTTCAATCCCTGGGTTGGGAAGATCCTCTGGAGAAGGGAATGGCTACCCACTGTAGTATCCTTGCCTGGAGAATCCCATGGACAGAGGAGCCTGGTGGGCTACAGTCCATGGGGTTGCAAAGAGTCGGACACAACTGAGTGACTAACACATACTGGTTGAAGGAAGACGCCAGAACTCCAGTTCACTCTCCACCACTGGAGGAGTTACGAACCCAATTGGCCAGACTCAGGACGACGACAGGGTCAGGCTTTCGTGGTGGACAAGAACACTGGAATCTTAAAAAGTGTCTTCATTTTCTGTCCATGTGGCTGGATGGGAAAGCCAGGGAGCACGTTGGCCTGAGAGGAGACATCTTGGTTGCTTTTATTTCTCCTTGGTCATACATATTCAGGTTTTCTGCCTCATTCACATAAGACACTGGTGCTAAGCTTTAAGTCTGGGATTAAAAGAGAAAGAATCTCCTTATAGCCCTTGCACCTCAACTCAA